TAGAGAAGACAGAAAAGGCTAACAAATTAAAATGACTATCAATAAAAATTCTCTACAGATTCCCTACAGATGATGCAATCATTTCACAATCAATACCTCATACTTAAGCTGAGAACTTATTGAATATCCCTCTTATAATTTAGCAATTTTAGATGAATTCATTGTTTCATGTATGAATGGAAACTAATGAATCAGATTTACGTGTGTAACGTACGATGAAAATAAGCATTACAGGAGGAAACTCTGGACACGACGAAAATTTTTAAGGCTATAAAATTTTTTTTAAGAATTTATTAGCTTAACTTTATTTACCTCAAATCCATATCACCTTCAGAATTAAGCGCGAAACATTAGGAAAAAAAAACGCCACTGATGAAAACAATTTTTGCAATGTAAACTAAGAAAATAAATTCGTGTGAAGAAAGCAGCTGCTTAAACAAATCTTTCAGTTTTGATATTTTCACATTTTTGATATGATTGAGCGAAAAGAAATGGGAACAGATGTTCCGTTCCATCACGTAGACTTAACTGTGAAAGAAACTCATAAATCATATATTCGATTGAAAAACCAGTTATTCCGAGTATTAGAGGACTAACTCTTGACAAGCATTATTTGATTGATTTAAATTAAAAGCATAGTTTTATTTTCATCATAATATTTTTGCTTTAATTGGAAATAATATTTTATGCATACCATCAAGAACTCTTTTATGTTATTAATTACGTTTTATATGTATAAACATATGTTTTATATGTCAAATCTTATTTGCTGAATTTTAAATTTCTCCCTATTGCTATAAAGTTGTTGCTATAATCCGATACAAATTGTGATATTAACTGTTTAGGTAGCAAATAAACACTTTTTTAAGTCACCTTGTCTCATGATGTATTCCTTATTGTCTCATATCTCATCTCACGTCGAAATTAGGGTGAATTTTAATATCGACTCGGTTATATTTAATTTAATAAATAGGCATACGTAACAACAAATTATATTTCAACGTTTGATCAGAAAATAAATTACGAAAGTCACGGATCACAGAAACTGTATCTTTATAGAGTCTTAATAAATTATTAATATGAATGTGTACCAAAGAAAGAAACTATTAAGATTTAAATTTAGAGAAATATATTAAGTGACGAAACATATAACATTATTTTTCCTACTTTACACGCATTTAAGTCAGTTCTCGCTCTTATTATGTCAATTTAATTAACAGTTGTAAAATCTCACAGGGGTAGACTTCTTTAATTCTTATTTAGGAATCGCATAATAGTTACTTTAATGCTCTCATCGTAGAGTTTCGAAATAAAAGCCATAGTATATTATGGCTTAGTAAATTAAAGCTATAGTATATTATGCTGTGCGTTGGCATCGTATTTGAGTTTCGAAATAAAAGCCATATTGGGAATAAACTAATATACAGCGCTCATCTTCGTACCGTATGTAAGTAATTTTAAAATAAATTTAATAACTGAAGAAATATTTTGCTATTCGTATTATTAAGGTATTAAAGGCAATATAATATTATTCAATAAAGAATTTTTTTTATTCATTTACTATTAAACGATGGTCCTAAAATACAAAATTGTTCTATACCGAAATAACACGGTATACGGTATCAGAAGCATTTTTCATTAATTATAATGGTACAAATGTTCAAAACATATCATTTGAAAGTATTATACATTGTATCATTTACTCTTCTTTTAAATTATATAAATTAGTTGTATTATCCAGAAACAAAAAGATATAAGCATTATGTATTATGTTTATATGTTTAGATATAAGCATTATGTATTGTGTTTACTTTCATACTGATGATTATAGTTAACATCTAAAAGATAAATCAAATATTTTATAGCACATTTCATTCTATAGATATGCATTTCCATAGACAACAAGGAGAAAAAAAAGGATCTTATGTCTTCGAACATCAACACTTTCCACACCGCGTGGATAATATACGTAGCGTATTCGGAAACTGTACCGTTTCATTCTAGCGCCGTCGCAGCGCTGTGGTAGGCGTCCCGCGCATGCGCAGTAGTCTTTCTTGTTCACTCACTTTCAATTGTCGCCATTTTGGTTGCTCTATGTTGTGTTTTCAGTTTGCTGTGCACATTCAAAACATTTAAGACAATTAGTTCTCCCGCTGACTGTGAGATTCGTGCCGTGATTAAATTTTTGAACGCGAGGAATGTTAAACCGGCCGAAATTTATCGTCAAGTGACAGAAGTTACGGTGAATACGCGATAAGTGATGGAATGGTGAGAAAGTGGGTAAGATTGGAACAAATATCCACGCCGAGGCTTCTGTTGTAACCGATGATTTGGTAAGGAAAGTTGATGAAGCAATTCATGAGAACAGACGCTTCACAATGACAACTCTTTCAGAGGCATTTCTCCAAATTTCACGTACTGTTTTGTTCGAAATTGTGTCTGACCGCTTGAATTATCGCAAACTGTGTTCCCGATGGGTTCCAAAAATGCTCACTGATGTTCACAAAACAAAGCGACTTGGTAGTGCCCTGACATTTCTCACGCGATACAGTGATGAGGGAGAAAACTTTTTAAACCAAATTGTGACAGGTGATGAAACTTGGGTGTGTCATTTCACACCAGAATCGAAACAACAATCGATGGAGTGGAGACACACTCATTCTCCGAAAAAAACGAAAATTCAAAGTGACAATGTCATCACAAAAAATCATGTGCACTCTCTTGGTATAGGAAATGCGTTTTGCTTACTGAATTTCTTCCCAGAGGTGAAACCATTAATGCGGCACGATATTGTGAAACTTTAACAAAACTAAGGCGTGCCATTTAAAACAAACGAACAGGAATGCTCAGTAAAGGAATTGTGTTGCTCCATGACAATGCTCGGCCCCATACTGCTGGTGTCACTCAATCGTTAATTTGACAGTTTCATTGGGAGCAGTTCGATCACCCGCCGTACAGCCCGGACTTGGCGCCGTCCGACTATCACTTGTTCCTGCACATGAAGCGCGAGCTTGGTGGCAAGCGCTTTGGATCTGACAATGACACGAAAAATGCTGTGAAGTCGTGGTTATCGAAACTGGCGGGAAGTTTCTTTGACGATGGTATACAAAAACTGGTCACCCGCTATGACAAGTGTCTGATCATTGGCGGAAACTATGTTGCAAAATAGTATAAGACATGTATTTTCATGTAAAAATAAAATTGAATTCGAAAAAATTGTTTTACTATTTTTTTTTTTTTTTTTTTTTTTTTTTTTTTTTTTTCGAAACGGTATTTAGTTTCCGAATACGCCTCGTATGTTGTGGTAGCTTAACGCAAAGTAACTTGATTTGACGTCCGAAAAATTTGGAGCTATTTCATTATATAAGGTTATAGAACACCAGTATGTATTGTTGTCCTCAAATATGAGATAGCAACATGTTTAAGACCACCCTGAAGGTTTGAAGTTGTTTTGCAAATGACAAGGTTTTACAAAAAAAGAATGTTTATTATCGTGGTATTTTAAAAATATGCAAGCGAAAAGATAATAGATTCTCTAAATAAATAAATTGAATAAACATAAATAAACGTAATTAAAAATAATTGCTCTAAATAAACTTATTGAAGAAAAGATAATTAAATGAGCTTTCTTTTAGAGTGAAACCTCGGTTTACCAATTTAATCAATCATCAAACGAAATGCTAATAAACCGAAACAATTCTTCCCATAGGAATTAATGTAAAATCATCAGTTTATTCCTGGACCACGGATGATTGCTTATTTAAACTTCCCAACGGTACACTGAGAAAACTTTCTTAACCCGAAACTTCAAAATCTTTAAAGGTAAAATTAAAAAAAAACGCAATATTAAGCAAATCATATAGACGAAACCTTAATTTAATTTTACTATACATGTACAAAGAACAGTGGACGGTAGTATAAAATGATAAGGAAGATGGTATTGCTTGAATGCGAAATTCCCTTCACCAAAAATAAATATTTTAAAAGGCGTCTTCTTTTATATTTTCATTGTCTCTAACTGCAACTCGACTAATTTGAAAGCATGAAAATTATTATAAGAAAAAAGAATGGAGCATTTCATTTAACACTGGCCAATAGACAACACTGGTCCCTACATCTTTGTGTAGGACATCGTTTGGTGCATATTGTCCTGTAATGTAAAATATCTTAAGGCAACGAAATTGTTTGTTGGCACTAACAGACAGCGAAAGGCGACTTTATGTAACTTCAGAAAATGATTTTCTCTCGTGTACCAGAAGACGAGTGAAACAAGGTTCATATTTTTCATTTGGAATTTCGAATACGGTTATTTTGCAGTGTAATTTTCCTGTGAGTTTCTAATGATCGTAACAAAAACATTCCAAAATTCATAGATTTACTCGACGTTGGCGAAAAATTGTGGTATTCATGAAACTTTAGAAAATCCTCTAAATTTAGGCTATAACAATAACGAAAATTCAGAACCGCAATAAAGTTATTGCCCTAGTTAGCATCCATCACTTTTTATTTAGGGTGCTATAAGGCCTTTCGAAGAGGAAAACGAAAGATATCAGCTGTGTAATTGCCAAGAATGAGACCATGGATCAAGTCATCAAACATGTTAACCATTAAGTCTTCATGTGCACGCATGGGAAGAATGCAATTCCGTTACAAGCATTAATATAAACTTTAATGAAGTAAAAAACGAAAATTTTATACAAAAACATAATAAACAGTATCCCCAAAAAACTTCCTTTCTTCGTTTCCTCATCTTTTACATTAAAATGCAGTTGAATCAAGTGCAATTAAGCTGTTCTGAACACGTTAGGTTAAATCAAAACATAACCTATTCCCTCACCCAGCATTATCCTTTTCTAAACAAAGTTACTGCCCTCTATTGCACAATGTATCTATCTACCGAACTCAGAGCAGGGAATGATGGGAAGGTTAGGATCTGATCACTCAGCTTCTCTTCTTCCTGTTGAAGTGGAAGGTCAACAGTCGCTAGGATGAAACCAGACGAGGGACATCAACAATAGAGCTAAGCCCTAGATCTAAGATATGCTGAAAGAAAGAGTGTGAGGGAGGTGGGGAAAATGCCAGTATAAAGAGAAAACGTAAGAATAGAAAGAAATGCTGAATGAACAAATTTTGGAGTCCTAGTGAGTACTTTACAGCTTAGCTTGAAATAGAAAGTCTTCTATGCAAAACAATAAACATAGTTCGGTTTATTCCTTTTGGATTTTGTAAACTCAGTCTTATATCAATCTCTGTTTCATGATTAGCTGAAGCTATGTAAACTTACCAACAGTGCTAGTTAATAATACTTATTATTTTCAGCAAGTAGATTGCAGCATTAATGGTTTATTTGACGAAAAATTACTAAAAATGTTGGATTTAAAATCTGAAGATACGAGAAAACTCACAGATAACATCTGCAAGATGTGTGTTATATATTAAGCTTCTTTACATGTTTTAAGGACTGGAAAGTTTAATTTAATATAAATGACTATAAATTTTATTTTTTTAAATTTTACCTGCTTCAAAATCTCTCTTTCCAATAGAAGAATGAGTAATAGATAACTTCTTTTTTAATGTCATCATATTTGGGATTCATCTACGCAAGAAGAAACTTCCATCAAAGCCGTTCAAAGCCGTTCCATCAACTCTTTAAATAATATGAATATAACTGTTAAAAGTTCCCGAGTGAAATTAGTGTTTTAATTCCCGAGCGAAATCAGTTTTCAAATCGCTGGCATCAAAATAGACAATATATGTTTTTCACTCTGATTTTGAAATCCCAACTCAGGTTAAAATTTCCCCCTGATGCGTTAAAATGGTTTGGACTTCTTGTCTTTAAGCCTAACGGCTGGCCCTAAACTATTCCTAAAATGATATATCTAATGGTTGTTGATTCGATTTATCTGATTATGGCAAAGCACTCAAGGGCTATCTGTCTTGGTTGAAGGAAGTCTTTGTGCAGGCCTTTCTGAAAGAAACTTGCTCATATACACGTTACACATGGAGAAAACCACGAAACCGGCATGCAGCCCGCCCGTTCACAGAGTTGCAAACCTTCGATTAAACTACCAGTGTACAGAAACTTAAGCGTTCGGTCACTGGTGGACTGTAATGGTTTGAGAACGTCTATTAATGTTTGCTGCTAATACACAAAATAAGACTCACGGTAAAATCTAACACAAGGTTTCATTAAATACGACTTGCTGATAATATAATTAAACAAGTAATATATAAAAAAAAAATTAAGTTAATTCCTACTTAGGTCAACAAAGAAAATTTTTAAAAATACAAAAAAAATTAATTAAACCTTTAAAACATTTTTAATATGTGAAAAAACTGTATTAACATCAAATATCATCCACTATAAGTTTAAAAAAAACATATTTTAACTTGATGAATAAAAAGTACTTATTAACGATTGAAAATTAATTAATTAAATAAAAAAATTTTAAGTCAATTCCTACTTGGATCAACAAAGAAAAATTTTTTAAAATTTTAAAATGAAAAAAAAAAAAAATTTAAATACAAAAAAAATTTTAATAGAAATTTTTTATTTTTACTTCCTTGTACGAAGTAAAAAGGAAGGATTGTAATCGCGAAAAGTTTCAGGCAGCATATTTCAACGAAAATATCCATTTTGACCGCTGTCGAATGCAATTTAACGATGTTTTTGCGTGATATCTGTACGTAAGGAAAGAATAAAATACTCTTTTCTTCCAAAAAAATTATAAAACTGCTTTAAAATGAATTCTGAAAAGAACTTTTTGTGGTGTCTGTACGAACGTATGTACGTACGTATCTCGTATAACTCAAAAACGAGTAGCCTCAGAACGTTGAAATTTTGTATATAGGACTGCTATAACATGTGGATGTGCACCTCGTATTTTGGTTGCAATCGGCTGCACCAAACGTATATAAATATATTTATATATATATCCACTCTGTTATCCGGCTCAGTGATCTCAGTTTCTTTACTCTTATATGTTTGTAAGTTGTACATTTTTTGCTTTAAAAATGATAGAATTATGTTGTTCTTATCTTCCGGCTAAGATTTTTATGCCTTTAGTAAGTCTGTATGCAATATTTTTAGAATTATCAACAATGTTAAAGTTGCTTAAGGGCCACTAAGCCTAATAATTTTTTTTGATGGCGGCCATTGCTTGTTTACATTTGAAACAGCAGGATAGTGGATTTGTTACCAATCTAAAGAAACTTACCTCGCAACAACAAAGATAATGCCTTCATTTATTATTGCCAATTAAATCATGCTTAATCCTTTCTGAAAATGTTTCGGGAAAATAAGTGTTTAAGATTTACTTCGTAGTTTTTAATAGATATTTTGAGTTTTTATGTATTTTTGCCTTGTCGCGAAGTGAAAACTGAATTAATTGAATAATGTGAAATACTCAATCGTCTGTGAAAAACTGTTTCCTTTTTTGTTTTGTTTGCTTAATTTCTTTTATACATCGTTCTAGCTTTATTATAGTATTTGAATAGAACATGTGGCAACGATTAGATAATTCTTTAAATGATATAAATGTTGTGCATTCTGAGTTATAATATGAATGAAATAAAATACTGTTAAGTGAACCTAGCGCCAGAGTGTCGCTATGGTAAACAAATAGAGTGAATTTTAAAGAATGCATTTATTCTATTGTGGTTTATGCGCTGTCGGCGAAGTAAATTTAATTCAATCCAATAAGTTTAAATGAAATGCGAGAAAAAATGCGTATAATTTAATATTCCGTACAAGGAAGTCATGTCGTGTACACATTACATTTTTCTAATATGTGAAAAAAAACTGTATTAACATCAAGTGTCATCCAATACAAGTTTAAAAATAATGTATTTGCACTTGAGTGAATGAATAAAAAGTATTTTATTAATGATTGAAAATTTGAACAATATATAGGGAGAGTGTTAGCTAATAGTAGGAATTTAGTAAAAAAGAGGTACAATTAAACTACCGACTCTGCAAGCGACTTGTAAAACTTGACGATAGAATTCTGGAACAATTTTAGCTAAGCAGCCCGTAAAGATTACTTTTCAGTGTTGAACTTTAAACATTGAATAAAACACTGGTCTGAGACGATTAAATTAATATATAGCTAACCGTTAATAAAACATACGTCATAAATATCAGAAAGCTAAAAAAAAAAAAAAATTGGGTGCTTACTTACTAACCCGTCAAGCGTAAAATTGTCACCGAGCAACCTGCTTTAGCGCCAGTTATACGTAAGCAAGATAGAATATTACACTCATAACGTCATCACTTTCCTTTGTTGTAACGCCCACTGATTCTGGATAAATCACCTTTTGCTTTTATGAAGAAGATTATAAATTAACTCTTAGTGCTGTGTTTTTTTCCATCGAAAACGGCTCGAGGGCTGTAGGATCACATTTTTGACAGCACTCTGATTCATTTATAGCTGGTCGAAAGAATTAATATCTGTTAAAAAAGAAAAAAAAAAAAAAAAACAGCTGGATTGGGGCAACAAATCAGCAATAGACTGAAACAATCGCCAATGGGAAGACTGTATTCATAAGGATTAAACAGAGCTTCCGACAAAACCGGAGGACGTACAAAATAGCAGAAAAATGGCAAAACTTCTGCAGCAGTAACTGTTTGGTAGATTATGCAGAATAACAAATGTTTTGGGTACTATTCGGTTTCGAGGGCCGTAAAAAATCGACAAATTATCGTTGATGCCAATGCTGCCAAAACGAATAGCGTCAACCCTAATAATTGCGGCAAGAAAGGAAGTATAATAGTAAATAACTATCTAAGATTGAAGTTTTAATTTAGATGAAAGATTAATTTCATATAATACTTTTTTATTATTATAATTTATATGAAAAAGGGTTACGCATGAATGAATGGAAGAATAAGAGTAAATTACTATTTCAGATCATTATTATAATTTATATAAAAATTGCTTAACATAACTGAATGGATGCCTGCATCGCTATTTCGTTACCGACTTATCGCTAAAGCATAATTTCATCTCGTTGGTTGTTCAAACGTAATTTTCTATAATGAATGAAGCTCTTTCTTTGAAAATATTCTCCGTAAAGTGCAGAATCGCTCACATATTTGTTTGCCGCTTTTTACAAGGGTAAAAACAGTTGGATTTTTGTCAATTTTCTTTTACTTTTTAAGTGAAAATAGGTCGATGTGTACATAGATAAAGTCAAGGGTGTGCGCAGTGCCATTTTTGTCCAAATCTAGGATTTTTTTTTAAAAGTGAAAATAGGTCGATGTGCACATGGATACCGAGTATGTGCAATTCTTAAAAACGCGTCAAGCAGTGGGTGATTCTGCACTTTACCCAAAATTCTATTGCCGACTTTTCGTCATGGGCAATCCCCAAATTGTTAAATCCATAGGATATCAAAACAGGATTTAAAATCAAAAAAAAGGATTTAAGAATTAAACTAATATTTCAATGGCGTCTTAAAGAATATAAAACTATATAAAGTTACGCAATCTGAAATCAACGCGTACGCTAGATTTGGCTTCTGTTAAATGGGCGCGTTTGCTAGATTTGGCGCTTTTGCGCGTACATTTTCGCTGCAATTTTCTTACGGCGCTCAAAACAGAATAGTACTATGTTTTGTAACGATTTTTTAGCCCAAAGGGGCAATTTGCCGAGAGGGGCTATTAATTTCGTTTTGGCATTTTGCGTTGATTCACTATAAACGGCGAATCACTTTTTAAATTGCTGCCACCAAATATTAGAGCCCTGTATTCTATTTAAAGCATTTGTAAAGCATTTATGAGTTTTTGATTAAGAAACTCAACGATTTCAAAGCAAACAATGGAAACACTGTACGAAAAAAAACATTTTATCTCCAGGGAGCGAGACTGTGTATCCGAAATTCTAAAGATATGCCCTTCTGTTGCCACAAAATGTTAGAGTCCTGCATTATATTTGAAGAAATTAAATAATGAAAAATCTGCATAAATGTATGTATATTTCTCGTATTGTGATAAAACAACGGTACATAGAGTCATCGAGTTTTGAATAACGTAATCCTCCAACGAATATGAGCATGTGGAAGACCAAATTTGAAATTTGAAATTTGTTTTATGATCGATTTCCTATTTTTTAAAACTTTGACGAATTTTTGATTAACAAAC